CACACACACACACACACACACACACACACACACACACACCAGAACGTCACCTTGCTACGTGTCTGTCCTTCGTGCTCCCAGGTTACCATCAAGCCAGAAATCACTCGGCTCTCCACGGCAACGTTGATTCAGCGAATCGGGCAGAACAAACTCACCCCATCAGACATCCTGAAGGCTTATCAAAGACAAGTGAGTCACACACACACACACACACACACACACACACACACACACACACACACACACACACACACACACACACACACACATCTACACACACATCTATGTACTCACATCCTGAGCGGTCGGCACGGGGGCTGCTGGGCGGACTTAAACTTTTCTGAAAGAAAAACAAAAAACAAAAAAAAACACGCATGATTATTTTGACAAACGACAGTGTTTACATGATAGTGTTGCATCATAAAACTATGAACACATAAACAAAAGGACTTCACTGACACCCCCCCCCCCTCATTTCCCCATTTCTTCCTCTTAAAAACTCTTCATTTGCATTAACGGATTGCCGTTGGTCGAGAAAGCATCCCAAAACCACATCACTGCGATTCGAGAGCAAGTACTGATTTCCACTGATAAAGTAATACATTTTTTGTTTTAGTAAATGTTTTACGGCACTTGCAACACAATACGGTCATATAAGTGCCGAAGATTAGAGATGTTATAAAAGAGTAAAAAAAAAAAACACAAAAAGGAGGGGAAATAACGACGATAGATATTTGATAGGAAAGAAGAAGCAAACCACATCAGAGCTATCCACCCGCTAGGGTAATAAATGCACACATAATATGTTACTTTGTTACGTGTTCTCTTGATAACAGAATCAATGAGGGGAATGGTGCTAACATAATTTATTGGTTTATTGGTTGAAAATAAGACGTCCAAAAATTAAAAACAAACAAACAAACATTTTAAAAAGATCTACATAATATAACAGATGACATGTGTTCATATAAAACTGACGAACATGTTTTCATTTGCGAGATTGCAAATCGGTACAAAGTACTTTATTATGTGTTTTAAGGCACCATCAACACAGTTAATATATTATGAAGGTTTTCATGACAGAGAAAGGACGAAAATGGCTCCAGCACAGAGGATTTCAATGAAGAAAAGTAAAGTTAAGTTGTTCCCACATCCGATCTGGACATTGGGGATTGCCTTGTTAGTGAGACAACTTTCACTTCACACTGGCAGATATTTGAAATCAAAATTACACTGTGGAGGGCAAAAAATATCAAGACTGCTATAT